AATCACTCGGCAATCACAATCACACAGTCTGGGGTACGCATGGCACATAAATCTTCCTAACTGGCTACCCCAAAGTCATCGCTCCTTATCACTCCAGGTCTCGACCATCTTGGATCGAGCTAACCTTACTCTGATACCAAATCAACGGGGATGTCACGCCCCGCACCCTACGAGCGCGTGATCATCCCTCGATGGTCGATCATTGAATGCGACGTCCCAGACACGTCGCCGACCCAACCCAAACATCAGAGATTAGGCACGCGCGGAAACAAATAGAAACAACCCGGACAATTAATAATGACAAGGGGTAACAATAGCACAAAACAATAACTGTAATTCCTACACTTGGCAGATACATACGACGTCTACAAAAAGACAATTCCTAAGCTAGGCCACAACAACAGAACCACATTCCTCAAAAGGGACTAAGGTTTACAAACTTAACTCCTCTACAAAGGGGGGGCCTCAAAATACCGAGTACTTGACCCGTCCTCGATCTCCGAGATACCCTTGCAGCGTCTCCAGTCACTCATGATCGCGGATCTGAAATGGTTATATAATAACCGTGAGAACGAGTCTCAATAAGCAACCCCCTATACCCCACGTAGGCCAATGCGTACCCAGACAAGTCGTACATGCAAACTACCCCATAACATATAGAGTTCACATCATTATACTTACCTTGCCCTCGAATCACGAGCCAACCCTGCATATTAATCCAAACAAGATAATGCAAGAATAGTTCATCATCATATCACGGTCACCCGGCACATGCAATCTCACTCGCATTCAACCAGCCCAGCCAAGCAACCACACATTCAACTGGTCAATTAAATCACACGCTCAACCAGCCAAATCAGTCACACGCTCAACCAGCCAATTCAATCACACTCAAATCACATGCATGTCCGAACATCTTTCTCACAACTCGCGCCACTGCGCCTCAAATTCATTCTCACAGGCACACAAGCCTCACAATTCGATCAATTCCAATGGCCGCCGTCAACACGTCCCAAGCCATATCATTCAATCAATTCCAGTGGCCGCCGTCAACACGTCCCAAGCCACACTATTCAATCAATTCCCATGACCGACGTAAACACGTCCCGGTCCAATCACACCTTTAACAGGCCACCGTCAACATGTCTCAAGCCCGCATCCATTTGGCACATCGACCATTCATGCCTTCACACGGACCGCCGTCAACACGTCCCAAGTCCGTAGCCCTCCAATCGATCCGGGCTTAAAATCGACAGGCAAACACACGCCAATCAATTAAATCAATTTCACACCAATTGCATCAAACAGCCCATAATCACAACTCAGTCCAATTCACAATTCGCCACCTCAATCCACAAACCCGACGTTCAAGTCGGCCACACGCAATTATCCAATCGAGCATATTATTTAATCAAATTCAAGTAGCAAAACTATAAAATAATATAATTAGATGAAACACGCCCTAGCCGTTCTAAACCCGAGACAAGTCGATGAAATACCCACGTACAAATCAGACTCACATCACAGTCCATCACACTTGCCCACAAATCCGTCATTTATGCCTACCACATACGAACATCAAGTCCACCCATGAATGCCACTACAATATTATCAATTAGCCCACCATAATTAGTCATTAATTAAGCCCCACATTTCTCACAATTTAAACTATCAATTAAGCACGTACAAAAATTGCTCACAATCCACGTTAAGCCCCTAAACCCGGTACTAATTACCCCCTGGACAAGTCTAATAATACCCAATGTACTAGGTAAGGTTTAGGGAGCCACTTACCAAGTTTTGGCCCGGGGAAAAGTCGTCTCGGGCCTAGGATGGCCAAGGTGAACAGTGCGGACCAGGCACGTGCGCGGGCACGGCGGTCGGCCGGGCACGGGCACGGGCACGGGGCGGCGGCGACGGGCGCGGGCGCGGCGATGGGCGCGGGCGCGGGCAAGGGTGCGGCGGCGGGCGCGGCAGCGGGGCGCGGGCGTTGGCACGCGGCTTGGTCACGGTCCGAGCTGGTCGGCCGGGGCTAGTTGGCTGGTCGGGCGGCGACCGGCGGTGGCGGTGACGCGGCGGCGACGGCCGTGGCGGCGGCGTCTGGGGGAGAGGCCGCTCGGGTGAGAGAAAGAGAGACAGAGAACGAGAGGGAGAGAAAGGAAGAGGAGGAGAGGGAGACGAGAGGCCGAGGGGAGGCAGCGGACCGGCGGCGGCGGCGGCGACGGCCGGCTAGCCTGCACGGCGGAGCGGCGGCGGCGAGCCGGGCGACGCGGCTAGCCGAGCGGCTCGGCTCGGCGTAACCGGACAGGAGGAGACCGGGGAGGGGAGAGGCAAGGGGGTTGGCGGCTGGTCTCGCGGCATCGACGGGGCGGAGGCGGTGGCCGGGCGACGCGCCGGCGAGCCGGGTGCGCCGGGGTGACGAGTAGCGGCGGCAAGCTCGGCTGCGCTGCTGCTGCGCGCGCCCGCGGCAAGCCGGCGAGGGGCGACGGGCGGCGGCGAACGGCGCGACGGCGGCGGAGCTTGCGGGCGACGGTGGCAGGGCGGCACGACGCGACGGCGGGCTCGAGCGGCGGTCGGCGAGCAGAACTGGAACGGACGGAGACAGTCGGGCCCGAAAAGGAAGAAGAAGAAGAAGAAGAAGAAGAGAAAGAAGAAGAGAAAGAAGAAGAGAAAGGAAGAGGAGAGAGGAGAGAGAGAGAGTGTCAGAAGGGGGGGAAGGGGTTGGTCTGCTTGGGGAATGGGCGTGGACGGGACGGGACGCATGCAGAGGAGACGTGCGGCCAGAAGAAAAAGAAAGGAGAGAGAGAGAGAGAGAGAGAGAGAGAGAAACGTGCGCGGGGGACGGGACGGGCGGCGCGGCAGAGGAGAGAGGAGAGAGAAAGAGAGAGAAAAAGTTAATATTTATCCTCGAGTGCGAATCAACGGACACGATTCAAACTAAATATTATTCTAACTATCGCGATTCAAACCCGGAAAAAGATCTAACTATCCCCGAAAAATCCCAAACAATAATATAAGACAACGGGCCAAAATAAAATAACTCAAGACTCACTACGAGGGAGGTCTACCAGTCCAAATTCGCACCCGGTCCAAAAATCCACTTTCTCACTATTCCTAATCACCTCGATGCTGGCCACAATAATATCGACACCGTCCAATTTATTTCGTCCCGAAACTCTCGAAAATCGACTGCCAAGGTCAGGGTCTAAATAACGGTCAAATTCGATCGAATGCGATTCTAGCGAAATCTCAAGATTTAAAAATAATAACCGGGAGTGATCAGTTCCCGGGCGAGATTTTTACTATAAGCGCACTGACGAAATACCCGTTCTATAAATCCCAAAAATGGGCCAAAATTCGGAATGTCACGTTTCTAGTATGGAGGAAAGGAGGAGTTTATGAAAAGGGTACAATGGGGGTGGCTTAGGTCTCATTTTTCTATTTTACTAAAGTTCATTAGACTAAGCTTAAGAATTTATACTTTGGTACATTTAAGGTATTTTGGACTTCATGGTTATTTTCATTAGTATAATGCTTATGTGACAGTATTGTTATTCAGTTAAATGCAACGGTGGACGAAAAGTTGTTGACGATGTGGCGTGCCATTGACTGGGCCATATTTAATAGTGCTCCTATTTCCTTTCCATCCCATTTTTCCTCTTCCTCTTTTTGTTGATGTATTTTATCTTTCAAAGGTAAAGTAAAAACAAGAACTTCTCATTGTCTACCTAAACTAACCCATTTACAGCTCTTCTTCTTTCAATTGTACTGAAGGGGAGCATAGACTATTTCGAAGGCCTTAACTTCATGTTTGTGCAGTTGGTTAGAGCATTGGGGATTTCCAACTCACAAAATTGGAGATTACTTGTTCAAATTTCATCAATTGCTCACAAAACTATTTTAGATTAGAGTCACATGTACCGGCCATGAATCTCGACTTAACAGGTTAATAGGACCAGCAGGTTATTCGGTGGCCTCCAGGTAGTCAGGACCGTGTCTTAAATTATAAACAAAAAAGCCTCATCTCAACTACTATTAAATTATTTGATTGGCTAAATCACTGGTAATTAAAAATAATTAATAATTAATTCATGAATGATTAGTATGATTATTGACCAGAACACCATTCTATAGGGAAAAGTGAGTGAGTGTTTTCATAAGGTGAAAATCCAAATTAAGCATAGATTTTAGTCTTTTTAGATTAAAAAAGTACAGAAATATCGGGCAATGAAAAAGAAACATCCTCATTCGTTTTTTTTTTTTTGGGTGTAAATATGTGAATATCATTAATCATATGAGGTACAAAGGCTTAGAGACAACTCTTAGCATTTCAAAGAGACTAATTATGCAAGAACATCCTCATTAGTTATTAGTGCCAGTTTTAAGAAAGATTCATTATGAGTTAGACTTCCAGCAATAGACTTATTTATCCATTTTTTTTTGGTGTAAAATGTTAGTATTATAAAGCAGATGAAGTACAATAGCAATAGACATATAAACATGGGTGTGACAGTTTCTTCTTTACATAGTTCCCTTATTGCCTCTCACGGATAACATGAAGAATTGGATGGAAACTGCTTTCTCTTTCACTTGCACCCCGAAGCCTAGCTTAAGTTAATCCCAAACACATGTATAATTTAGCATTTTCTTCGGTATAAGCTAAAAAATTCTTAGGACACGCGATCTGTGTAATTTCTTTTGGACCCACTTTCTATCACTACTAATTTGGATACTTAGTTAATTTCTGAAGGTATTATAATTCTTGTCAATGCTAAATCCATATCAATGGTGATGGAGATGATTGCGCAAATGATGATTACATAACCTTCAAATATTAATTCATAAAGTATGTCACCTTTTGACCTTATTGTAATTTTACCATTTGGCATCTTAGTATATTGTTGCATTATATATTGATATATAGACCCACGGTCCATACTAGAATCGATCCCTTCTAAGTTTATGTACTAAAACAGCCTGCAAATTTATCGAAGACATGCTTTGAATATAAAGTATTACTGGCTGGACGCCTTATTATTGTAGTCCCAATAGGAAGGTTACAATATTGCCAAACTATGATAAGCACTATAATTTTGCAATAAAACCCCACGATATAAGTATAGATGGAGGTTCGTATAAACATGCATTAATGTGTTTTTCTAGCTTTTTCTCAGCGAACTAGAATGGTACAATCTACACAAATTCAGAAGAATCTAACTCTCTCTCTACTTAACCTAGCTACTCAAGATCGACAACATGTATTAAAAAAAACGAAAATGACTATCACACTTATCATCAACCCTCATTAGTTTTCGTCAAAAGAAATCATCAAATGCACGCTCCTTTTCAGTCTCTGACTTTTCAAGTCCTGCACAGACGAACACATCGAGTTATATAAGCTAAGAGACTCTAAATACAGTCACTCTCTCGACTTAGGGTTTGATAAACTGAGATGTCGAAACGAACCCAGATCTTCGCCAGTCGATATATCCTGAACCATCAATTGGAGTCCATTAGTGTATTGGAAGGAATCTGAAGCCGAGATCGGGGCTGGAAAAGTGAAGTCCGAATCACTCGATGAAGTCTCCATAAGATTAATAGCATCATCGTCTTGATGATCTCTAGTTATAGAAGTGTGATTCGAACTTGATGAGCACAAGAAGGACTTCAGCTCTGAGACTTGGTCTGAGACACTTGACATCATCCTGAGACAGACTAAATCGCATATAGCATGAGTAGATCACACGAGGGTCTAAAACATTATGTTCTATGAGCAATTTAGAGATAAAAGGGATTTGGTTCTTCTACTATATAATTTAATATTATTCAATTTCAAATATGTTCCACATACCTTCTAAATTTTACAAAATGATTGTAATCCACTTAAGTATCTTCAATCGTTTATGCATTTAACACATCCTAACATGGGACAAAGTCATCAAAACACAAGGGTTTACAATATCCGTCCCATACTAAGAGATGCAGAGAAAACAAATCTTGATTTTCCTCTTCAAGAGCATTTAAGTTTGAATTCAAAATCAATGTCTTTTTGAGATAATATGAGCAAGTGTTACGTACCTATTCAAGTATTCCTGTAATTGATCAACTCTTCCTTGAGTTTCTAACAACTTCTTATTTTGTTCCTCACTTGATTCTTGAGCCTTCATATACAACCTTTCAAAATCATCAGCTCTTTCTGTTTCTCTCCGCAGCAAGACCTGAACATAACAAAGGTTACAACATAATAATTTAAGAACTCTAACAGTGTGTGTGTGTGGTAGAGTGAATTAAGTTTACCTGTAACATTTGCACTCACGTAGATTAACATGATAATAAGTTTCATACACTTATAAATTTAGGGACTTTACGAATAATAGAAGTTAAATTACTGATAAAAGAGATATAAGTACCTTAAGATTTTCAACTTTAGAGTTGAGAGACTGAATTTTTTCAGCATCCTGAACAGAATCTCTGACGGGGTTCATCAGTTGGCGAGCATCTTCAATTATGGTTTGTGCAATTTCTCGTTCATTATACAATAAAGCAGTTGCTTCATCAACTTTTGCTCTCATTGCATTTAAAGAATGGTGCAATCTCTCTATGTCTTGGGCCTTTTCTTCTTCCAATTTAGTCTGCATACACCATTTGCAAAACATAAATTAATATCAATCATGTGATGCAAATTTAATACTCTCGAATCTCTTTATTGTAGCTTATATATATAAGTAAATATGAAAGATTGAATAACAGCGATTATTCTCATATTTACCCGAGCCATTTTCTCCATTTGCAAAGATAATGTGAGTTCCTCCACTTGCTTCTCGAGCTTTTCTTTTTCATTTTCTTCTTCATTTGTTTCTCTTCTCATCCGATAAATCAGCTAACACATAAGAGATACACGAATGAAGGTGTATGCCACACTTTGAGATATATAAGAACTGAGAACATTAATGACTTAGAGAATTATTATGAGCAATATTAAAAAAATTGGTAGAGTACATATGATTTTAATAACAAAAATAGTAGAAGAGCAATACCATATCTCCCATTTCATGCTCTGTTCTGGTTACTTTTTTCCTTCTTTTGCCTTGTAGAAGAATTGATGCCTTTTTCAGTTGCCTATAATGCGATTGATCTCTATGACGCCGCCAGTTGCACTGGAGAAAGAAACAAATGATATTATTAATCGACATTTAAGAGTATAGCCTATGGTATTTGCAATATCAACCTGAATTGTAGTTGCTGCTTTGGTTTGTTTTCTATGCTTGAATTCATTACATGCAACCGTTGCACGTATAGCAGCTTGCACGGTCATTGCGACGACTTTCATCTTGATATATGCATTTCTAGTCGAGTATCCACGAAATACAGTTTGTACTTTGGTAGCTGCACTTTCCTTTTTCATATGTTCATACAATTTGCAAGCTAATTTTCCTGCAAGAAATATGATAATGCTTCACCAAAATATTTTATTTGTCACTAACATAGAACAATACAAAGGTTAATGAAATTTTCTTTAAACTGATCTAATGAATTATGAGGAATTAGCAACCTTCATTAGCATAATGCGAACAAACAATAAATATCTCGATCATACCAACCTCTCCAAAAGGACTGTATGTGGATCGAACGCTTTCGTAAAGAGACGTATTGTCTGCGAGCAATGCGAGTTCTCATCTGTCGTTGAATAATCTTGGCAGCGCTACTATGCACTTGTAATCGCAATGAATCTAGCTCAGCCATTTGCCCAGCTCTTAAGAAAACTTTTGTCTTCCCAATCTGCCCAATGCATCGATAAATTTATTCCAATACAGAACCTTCAAAAGCAATGCTAATAACGTTTAATCAACAATTATGTCAAAAGTTTGAATAACAGTTGTACCTTGAAATCTCGAAGAGCTAATTTTTCGAGCATCATTATACAAGCATCTCTATCATCATACCTACATAGAAGGAACTTGTATGTTATTAAACTTTACAGGATAAAAATTAACATATTGATTATCATGTGAATTTGACTTACTCTTGCTTTAATACGTCCGGTGCAAGTACACTGAAGCGCTTTATAAATTCGGCAAAAATCTTATGTGTAGGGTATCCAGCGCATTTGATTCTGATTGCTTCGAGAACACCCTGTAACATTTTACTTGTTATGTCACTCTACAATAATGGAGAATTATAAAATAATATAAAAATAAACATCCAGCTCCATATCACACTTACACCAGAACGTAATTGCTGCATCACACTCATATTGTCAAAAAGGAAAGGTCTTAGCTTGCTGTTTGGCTTCACGCATCTGATGTAATGAGGTTCTGTAGAATTTAGGGTATCCATCAGTTGTTGTAGTTGTAGCTGCAATCAGTATATCCAACATATCATACCATCATTTGCCAACATGTTATTAAACCATATATAACAATGACATTAAGTTGGAAAATAGCAACAATGATCGATACTATTTACTTAATATTGCTTTCCAATCCCTGGAGATTTAAGCTGAACACTTTGACCTCTAAAGTACTTAAGTCAATACTAAGTAATCCTTGGTCTCATTGTAAATAATGCATATTTCAAGGTTAATCAAGCAAGTTCAATAAAATTGACATTTAAGGCTTCAACTTAGCTCTTGACAAGTTATCTGGGACTTACAAAGATCTCTGCACATGCAAAACTCGCATAGTTCTGTTTATGTAAATTTAGATATAACTTGATTATTTGGAAATGGAGTTTGGATAATGAAACTTTAAAGATTTAATTGAAGGGAGAGTAGAAAAATGAAGAAATAAATGGAGTTGATGGTGTTAGGGTTGGTTTTACTAAGGTTTATCATATAAATTGTAGGGAAACCTAGAAAATGAAGCTTAAGTTTCCTGGTTGCACTCTGCGTCTTCCAATTTCAAAATATGTGCTTTCCATCCTCAAAATTCAAAACTTTACACTTTGAGTCTAAATATTTCAATCTTACCCTACTTGTTATGGTTACCCTATGGAGTTCTTATCCTAATTCTCTGCCAATGACTATTACAATGGAAATTACTTCGGTTAATTTTTGCATACATCACCTCATTGCAAATCATGCTTGGACTAAAATAGTTTTTCTAGGGCATAGCAAGGAAGAGAAACCCTAACTTTTTTTACCACTTAAATGCAAAAATTTGTTTTTTCAATGAATAAATAAATCATCATGTAAATGAAAACCTAAACCAAGACTTCCTCAACGTATGGTTTATGCATTAACCAATCTTAAACATTCTTTAAGAACAAAATATCTGATTCAAGTTCTCTAAAATATATATACTTTTGAGACCTATGGTTTCACTTCATTATGGAAGTTCATAACTCCTCATAGTCATTTTTATAAGAGAATAAGTATAATTATATTTTTTAATTAGTTAAAAAAAAAGAAAAAGAAAAGGAATAATCATACCTTGAACCTAGACCCAAGAGATGAAAATTTTGCTGACTTTGCCAAGTCTTCTGAAAGTGGAGGGAAAAGGCTTGCTACAAAAGAGCATCTGGAGGTGCTCAGTAAGTCTTGATGTTCTGGAACAACATAGTCTTTATTCTTATCTAAAAACTGATCAGATTGGTATTGAACCTGGAAAAAAGCTCATCAAATTCAATTTAACCAAGTTTAGTCGTCAATGATATAACAGCGATAATGATGGCAATAGTATCGCCAAGCTTACCTCTCCAGCATAATGAATAATCGTGAAGTCCGTACGTGTTAACTTTGGCTTGATGAAATGCTTGTGGAACTTGAATGACTGGTAAAGCTTTTCAGAGAACGTTTCACTAGTTGATCTGGGAAACATACTGAAAATTCAAATGTATATCAGTGGAATGATCAAGTGAAGCACACAACCAACATACAAAGTCAAGAAGTCGGATGTACCAAGCTTCGTCGAGCAAAGTGATGATTCCGCCCGGTTTCTACATAATCAAATGGATTGGATGGTGTGAATTCGATGAAAAGTTTGGAAACCCCAATGTTAAAAGAGAAACATAGAAACCCATATATGAGATATTAATGTGGTATTTTTCATATGCGTAATATCCATGTGGCACCCAGGAGTCATCTTGGTCTACAGGTTATTATCAAGTTATCTACAATTGCAAAAAACATAGACTTAATTAGGGTATAATCAAGATTTTGTAACTATAGTTATTATGTTGTACTTTGTATCTAAATATGTTTCAAAAATCAGACTTAACTAACGGAAATTCTTATACATTTATTGAGAGAAGAATTGTAAAGCAACATGTCCAAACTTCATGATTAGAACATACAAATAATACTATTAATTCGCAATTGAGGTAAAAGGCTGTATCTATTAATATTTCCAGAAGTATACCTTTTCAATTAGATCCAAGATGTCTTGATTATCAACAAAATCCACATAGCTCCAATCTATGTCTTCCTTCTTGTACTCTTCTTGCTCCATTTTGAAAACATGCTGAATGATAATCACTGTAGTTAAGTCATAAGTTGGAAAGTCATGATAACTAAAAATTAGGGTAAATTATCCGAGAACCCCTATAATTTGAGAGTTTGACTAGATGACCCTTTAATAATATATAATTTTTTTAAAATTTGGAAATAGAATGGGTCAATGGATGAAAACCTCAAAGTATAGGGTTTTTACAGAGAATTTACCCTTGAGATTAAGTAGGTGAAGTATGGTTGACTTAATACCTGATTGAAATGTTGTTGTAACTTTTCATTTGTATAATTTATGCAAAATTGCTCAAAGCTGCACAGAATAAAACGTAAATTAGAAAACCTCGAAATTACAATAATTGAATGATGGGTAAAACTTTAAAAGATTATGACAATTACAAATTATCTAAATGGATTTGCTCGTCTCTACATCAAAATTATTTTCCTTTTTACTTTTGTTCTCCCTACAAAAATGTAAACATGGATCAGATGTTTTGAATTACATATTTATGAAATTAACTATACATCATTCTACATAAAAAAAAATACTAGTATATCTTCGAAGAATTCAGGTATTCCGCATTATATAAATGTTGAATTCCGAGAGCCGTATGGCACGACAAAAACGGATATTTTTTGCCAAAAATTAACGGATATTTCCTTTTTTTGTCCATATGTCACTACACATTCAATATATTTTAAATCATATGTGAATAATTTACTCTTGCTTTTTCAGGAAAACATTATCCTAGAAATTAGAGTAAATAATTAGTGATAATCATTTCACAAACACAGAGATAGAACCCTGAATCATTACCTATTAGATTGGAAGCTTTCAAACCCATAAATGTCGAGAACTCCTATGAGGTATTTCGAATCGGGGTCTTGTCCGATGGCGATATTTATCTTGTCCACCAACCTAAAAATCTCACACAAATAAATATTATCTAACCGGCATTATCAAAAAAATAAAAATAAAAAAGCATAATCAAACAATAATAATAATAAAAATAATATTTTTATAATCTAATATAATATGTGCAAGAATCTCACCAATCAAATAGGCGTGAGTATATTGTTTTGGCTAAGCTGTCTCTGCTTAATGTTGCACCCAGGGGATCGAGGCTTCTCTGGATTATCTCTTCAGGAGTGACCATTAAACGCTTGCACAAAGCACCTTCTAATTCACGAATATCGCACCTAATAATATCAATTAAATATAAGAACTTATAAATTGGAGTCTCATAAAAAGAAAGGGAAGAAAAAAAATACAAGATATTATTTATTACTTTAGGAGTTGGGCAGTCATTTCGAGATGAAATTTGGAATTTTCATCCGTCACGACCGACGAGTCCGTCTCTTCGCCCTTTGAAAAGGTGATATTTCCAAGGTGGAGAATCGCGGCCACAACGCGGAATATCGAATCCTATGAAAAAGCAGAGACAATCATTTTATTTTTCGTGAGAACTTATAGAAAAATTATCCAAAAAAACCTAAATCTATTGTACGAAGGCTAATTCAGTCCTAAATCTTTTAATTGTGTCAATTCAGTTCTAAACCCTTTGATGATTTGTCAATTTAATCCTAAACTTTTCAATTGTGTCAATTTAGTCATAAACATTTTTTACGATTTATCAATGTAGTTCTTTCAACCAAATATCCAAATAATAGGTTTAGAACTAAATTAGTACTGTTGAAAGGTTTACGACTAAATCGACTACCGTACAATTGGTTTATGACTTTTTAGACAATTATCCCGAGAACCAAGCAATATGGTCAATTAATGTGAAGTTGCATAGAAAAAAAGTACTAAACCTGTTCATCCTCACTTATTCCCACTACATTCATAGCTCTCCTGATGGCAAGGTACTCCTCTGCATCATTTACACCATCCAATTGATAGCAATTGGATTGGTTGAGATAGTGAAACGACTCCGGATTTCCCAACTTGTATTTCTCAATTTCCTACATTAATGTAATACAAGATAAATTACTAAAAATAAAAAAAAAATTTCAAATTATCTAATTTACTTATAATCATGTTGATATTCCATTGAGAAGAAGAGTAAGAAGAGGGAACCTGTTGCGGAGCTGCGCAAAGATGATAAAAACTATGGTAATTACGTTCTGGGTCTGAAATTTGACAAACGCGAGATCTCTCTAGGAGATATGTTCGTATTGCTGCCCCGGATATTCTTCCACGATTGTCGAATTGGATTTCGACGAATTTCCCGAATCGACTGCAACATTATTTTCAAAACAAAACATTACATATAGATCCATCATGTAGCATCTAATCAATATTGTCAATAGTCTTTGGTGCATGTTAGACGAGCCTAGTAGACTTCGATCACAATCACCCAATGCATTCAACTTCATCTCTTTATACTGGATTTACTTTGGTCGAAATATAAGTAATTTGCCCATGATATCAGTCTAACTTACCTTATAGTGCTAAGCTAATAAAATTTCAAAAAGTGAAAAAAAGTCAACAAAAATGTAAAAAAAATGAGAAAAAAATGTCAAGATTTTTGTATGTTCTACTCTTGTTTTTGGAAATTTAGCTCGGCTAAGTTGGAAGACATGTAACTAACTTTTTATAGCGCCTAAAAATAGGTCATTTTAGGCGAAATGCACAATCGTAGAGACACGAATGTTTTAGTGCATAGGATGATGGAAACAAAGTTTAGTGATCTCAACGTAAAACATACTAAACTTCAGTTATCATTGAATTTACTCTTTATTTCGACCAAAGAAAAAAAAAGAAATCGCTCTTTATTAATAAATAGACTAATGTATAATCAAATCTATCCTAGAATGAATATGGATAGACATTTTTTGGCACAATTATAAAGTGTATTGACAAGATAGCTATAAAGTAATTGACTTAGAGAATCTCATATATTGAATTACCTGGAATTATTGTTTCTGACGGTCTTCGCATTGCCAAAAGCTTCAAGCACTGGGTTAGACTGCAAGAAACAACAAACTTTACGTGAGAATAAGAGTTTTTTTCTAAATGATTAAACAATTACTCAATTTAAATATGAAAGGAAATAAAGATTTGACAATTTTTCCCACCCGCATAAACTTTTATGTTGAATACTAATGTCATTTTCATTTTCGCTTTTCTGTCAATGTTTTTACTCTCAAGTTTATATATAATTCTCTTAATAACTTCATCAACATCAGTGATTAGAGAGAAAATATTTATAGCTTAATATGATCATCTGTAATTTACACAAGTAAGAAGAAAACCTTTAATATAGTTTTTTTTAAGTGAAATAATAGTATAGTAATTGAATTTTGGTGTCTATAAAAGGTCTGAAACTTCATAAAATAAACTTAACATACACCACTATCTACAATCATTTCAATTCTATTCTTTAGAAGTTTGGTGTTCTTTCTAACATGTAATAATAACCAAAATTTAACTAAGGCAAGAAAGAAATCCTTACTAAATCCTCAAATGTCATCCCTATCGCTAAGAAAAGCAAGAACAAGTACCTAACTTACTTCTAGTATTTGCTGTTCGACTGTTCGGTGTCCTTCAACGAAAGTATGTCCTTCCAAAAACGCAAGATAACGCATGATCATCTTGGTAGTTTCGGTCTTGCCGGCCCCGCTTTCGCCGCTCACAAGTATCGATATGTTCTTTCTCTCATCGATCATCGCCCTGTTCCATTCCATCTCGATAGGCATAAACTGGCCTCGAATTTACGTGAAAGATAGAGGTAACTTAAGCCGAGTTGAGCAGTACTAACCTATACGAAGCGTCGGCGATGGCAAACACGTGCGGGCTCATGTCTCCTAACAGCATGCCCTTGTACATTTTCATGACACCGGCATCGTATAAACCCTCGAGGCTTTGAAAAGGGTTGATGGCGATGAGGATGTTTCCGGTGTAAGTCTGCCATGATTTTGTCACTAAATTATAATAGAGTCCTTCCACGGCTGCATTTAATTAGTTTAAACTCCTTTCACTAAAATTGAAATTTATCGAATATGTGGAGACATAAGTTTTTGAAATTAGAGACTTTACGTAGACTTTGTTCAAGGCGAATCGAGTGGCTAAGTTATGCAACACTCCTGGTTCGTGGAAGTAAGATAGTTTGGTCATGTCGTCGACTCCATCTTCAGGGACGTCCATGTCTTTCGCATGCAGCTTCGACAAGTTGGCGACGACCTGGCCAATGTCAGATGGGGGTGAAGTGAATTCATTAAAAAGAGAAGATAATATTTATGGAGGGTGTGTCTATTTTGCAGAAAATAAATAATTTGGATAATATTTTCTTAAAAATGATCACATGTATCGTTTGAAATATTTAGTTAATGAAAAAATTTTCATTAGCGACAACAATTTTTGTTTCAATATTTCCGTGGACAATGGAAATTTTTCCTTTATTCATTTTGTAAGCGATACAAGAGATCGGTTTTAAGAAAACGTTTTGTAGATCATTCATTTTTCGCGGAACATACGGAGTCGAAAGATTTGTTTGTGCTTAGAAACGTTGTGTTTTAGTAGGAAGAGCTATTTACCATTTTGCCTGCTGATGTTTGAATTTCAGCATCTTCTCCCCTAATATCCAAGACCTCACCATCGATCCAAGCGAGAGCCGGATCTTCAACCCAAACATGCGAACCTACAACGATGTTCAAGGTTGTACCCTGCAACAATTACAAACTGTAAAGATTATATACTTAGAAAGTGAGGTTATGTTATATCTCATGTCACAATTCTTAACGTCTGTTTTGAAAAGATCGATGCACAACAGTTATCTAATTTTTGGAGGTCTGTATTCATTTGTATCTAAGTGGATTTTGATGAATAATATGTATTGTAAAGTGTGTATATCTTGAAATGTAGTCAATACATCGACACCGATTAAATGTGGTATTATGACTAAGCAAACACCAACAAGTTCCATTGAATGTCCCACTTGTCCCCTTAAAAATTCTGCGACCATGCCGGTTGACGGGCCGACTCTGGAATCTGTATGGAACTAGCCAATTTGGTTTCAGGGTCGACTGGTTCAATTCCCAGTTCCAAAAACGGGAAATTGACTCTGACATGATAGATTACAATTTATTGGTATGGAACTTATCCACCCTCAAACTGATCACCCCTATCTTAAAAAGCACATTTTAAAAGTGCAAAATATCAACATGAGACTTTATAGATGTGCAAATTTGATTAAAACCCCATTTTTGTTTTCTTGTTCAAATGACTATTTGACACTCTCCTGTCCAAATTATTGCAGCAGGTTGCAATGCCAAGAACTGCAATGGCCACAATGGTACAGAAAGGACGATTCTCAACCTCTTTTTATTGTTCTTGAATCAGATACATAGTTCGTTTCGACACCACTAATTACATAAATCATGTCTATAGATAATTGACAGCATCTGATACAATCCAAGAGGGAAAAACCAGGGGGTCGTGATCATCAAGAATGGAAAACAGAAAATCAAGAGAAACATATACGAGTATTGAAGAACGAATTGGCTGTATGAAATGTACGTACCATTTATAAGAACAAGAAGATGTGCAATCTGTTCTTCATTCAACGAAATGGAGAATCCACCGACGATCGATAATCCCATTTCCGGCCATTTCTAAGGAAAAAGGAAGATCACCAAAAGGGAAAGAAAACGTATGCTCTTCGAGGTGATTAGGATCTGAAACTCGACTTTGCATGGTCGTGGTTAAGTGTTTCTAAGTAAAGATCAACCGATGACAGCTTATGTATAACCAAAAATGTCGCCGTCCTTTTTGATGTTCTTGTGGCTCTCTCTCTCTCTCTCTCTCTCTCTCTCTCTCCACGTGGTGGTTAGGTTCCGAAAGTTGTTTCTCCGTAACATCACTTATGCTGATTGAACCTGTCATAGTAATTATGTTCATTTTTTTTTCATAAGCCTATCATTAGGAATCTTCAATTTACAAAACTCTCTAAACGAGATATATTGAGTCTAACCAGGCCAACCTTAACATCACTAATAAAGTTTATTATCATAGTAAATGTTATTTTGGCAAGTCATATAAGAATTTCAAAGATTAACGTCACGGGTAATCTCAAAATCAAATAAAATCGGGGACTCTTTCGTGATCTTGAAAACAAGTCTTAGATAGGATTAATGCTAGGGAAATTTGTCCAAAAAGTCCTATACCTATTGTACTTTTTCTAATTCAATCATAAACCTTTTAATTTTGCCAATTGAGTTTTAAACCTATTCATGTTTTACCAATTGAATTCATTCGGCCAATTTTAGCCGGCAATCGCTGACATGGATGCCGACCGTTCTACGTGGCACGGCCGGCAGGGTTTAGGGTTTAGGTGTGACATTCTGAAATTTCGCTTATTTGGGATTTATGAAATGAATTATTTTATTAATGTGCTCGTAGCTAGTTCTCACCCGGAACTGATCATTCATGTGATACTAACCAGTGGGGAAAGGCTAATTAGGGATTTAAAATACGTACGACTAAAGAAAATTCAATCGTGAATGGACTTTCGACCATAAAATCGTCGAGGTGATATTTTGCGCCACTGTTAGCCGATCCAAGGATAGTTAGGGGTCAGCTCGCCACTGTCATAGTAGTGGATCGCGGGTGATTCCGCTGGACCGCGAAATAACTTGACGAATGATCCTGAACCTATACCAAACGATCGTGCCCCTCGGATCTAGTAATTGATCCTCGTGATTTTAATGACAACCGAAGTCATTACGGTCTGAATAAATTGTACGTGACTCGATTTAGTATCAGTCACGGGTCATACAGGCGAATTTCCCAAAAGCCACCCATTAGTCTGAGAAACGCTCGAGTTACGTTATGAATATATAATTGGAATATTGAGTAGAGACCAAACCGAGCGTTAGAAAATTCGGAAAGTCACGGCAGGGCCTTTGGATGACGTTGTAATTGGAACGTACAACTCTGGATTTCTTCGGATTTTTCAGAAAAGTTCAATTTCGGCGAGAAACGGAGAAAGTGACCATTTTACCCTTGGGATTTATTAAAGGGTTAGTTATAAAGGGCAAGGGCATTTTGGTAATTTTTCCCTCAAGTTCGGAAAAGACAATTTTGCCCTTGGACTTTTTGAGAAATTACAAGATTGCCCTTGGATATTTTTGGTAAGATTCGATCTGGGCCGTCGGTTTCAAGATAAGATCGAACCTGGACCGTCGGATGAAAAGATTAGAGAGGGGCATTTTGGTAATTAGACAAAAAGTGAACTTTTTAATAAGATAAGTCTCTCTCTCTCCTCTCTCTCTCCCCCCCTCCCATTCGGCCTCCCCTCCCCCGTGAAACCCCCACCGTGAGCCCCCTCCCCCGCCGAACGCCGCCCCTTGGCCGCCCATTGCCGCGCCGTCGCCCGGACCGCCCCGCCGTGTCGCGCCACGCCACCGCCCCGCCGTCTCACGCCACCCTCACCCCACCGTGATTCTCTCTCTCCCTCTCGGTCTCCCTCTCTTGGCCGTGAGCCTCACCGGCCGCCGCCCAAACCGCCGTCGCCCGCCGTTCCTCCCGATCGCCGCCGATCATCGCCGCCGCCACAAGCCGCCGTTAGATTTTGGTTTTGCCGCCGCTTTCGCTCTAGCCGAGTGAGTCTAGAGTCGGGTAAGTCGCGCCCTAAACCCGATTTAGGATATTGGGTATTAACGGATAAATTTTGAGTGAAATTGGGTTTATTTTGGTTCGGGTTTGTACGATTTATGAGCCGAAATGTTTAGCGGGCCTTAGGATTGAATTCGGAAATTTTTGGTGGAATATTTGAGGAAAACAGTGGGCTGTGAGTGATTGTTTAATGGGCTGTGATGGGCCGATCGGGACGCAAGTTGGATTTTTAGAACCGGCAATTAATTGTGAGAAAGTACCGTGAAGGGCCGGAATTGATTTGACGCCGTTTGGGTAGAGAAAAATGGCAATTTGTGCGTTATGTGTGTTCGAACCGTGATTTAATTGTGGTGATTAAAATGGAGTACGTGATTGTGTAATTGAATGATTGACATATGCTTGCCGGGTGCACGCTTGGGCCAAATTGATTTAATTGTAAGATTGGCCATGTCAAATGCTGAGTGAGCATGTTTTATGTGTGAATTGATGCGTGCACGGGCCACGTGCGATTGGCCAATTGAGTGTGGTAAATGCTTGTTGAGCATGTGCATAAATGAAAAGTGGATGTGATATAACACGAGTTCGTGGAAATTGTGCCGTCTTGAGGTGTGGACGTTTACGCGGGACGATGCCCGGTATTACCGGAAGACTACTAGCTTGAGGCGTGTACTTCAACGTGGGTTGCGCAGTAGGTGGTAGGTGTTGAGCCTGAGGCGTGTACGTTTACGCGGGCAAGAAACATGGCCTAAGGCGTGTACGTTTACGCGGGCCCGGAAGTGTTATGAAAAGTTAGTCGCAGTGTACCTGAGGCGTGTACTTCAACGTGGGTCACTGGCGAGGAATGTGGAAAGGATATGATGTGAACAGAATGAATGCACGACATGAGATTGGTACATGCGTGTGATCGTATATAATGTGACTGCTGTGTGATGAATTAGTGCGTGTGATTGTGTTTGTGAAATTGTCTGGAGGTACGTGGTAGCCTAGGTGGGGTTTAGGGGTGTACTTACTGAGATGTGATCTCATGGTTGTCTCAACCAATATTTTCAGAACCCCGACCTGAGATATGAACCCACCGCTACTGCCACCGGAACGTTTTAGAGTACCAGTGCACACCGAGAATGAAGTTACAGAATTTCCTATGGGGGATGGAATGACCTGGATTAAGCATACCACGACCGTTTTCGTAGAAGTAGGATTACCTCTTTGGGAGACCCACGTTTATACTGCCTGGTTCTTCCGGGATGCAGACGGGGCTGAGTTCGGGCCCGTTAAAGATTTTGATGTTCCGTTTGATCTAGTTGGGGATTGGGACCCGACTGCCGTACCCCGATTGATGGAGAGCTGACCAGTACAGAGGTTAGCTTAGCGCAATCTGGGATGCATTCAGCACCCGCCGCACAAGGATCTTCAGAGGCTGAGCATGAACCTGAGCCTGAAGCATCGCAAGCTGAGGATGACCCGATGGACATAGACTTAGAACCAATCCCCGAAGAGGAACCAGAGGAAGAGGAACCAGAGGAGGAGGAACCAGAAGAGGTGGAGCCCGAGGTAGAGCCTGATGACGAGTCTGAGGAGTCGGAAGAGCCTGTAGGAGACCCGAAGTATATACTCCCGTTTGAAGAATACATGGATCCCAATTACGTGCCTGAGATTAATTTCTTTGATTTTCTAGCTGAGGAGCACCAGAATGCTATTCCAGCTGAGTCGGGTGACATTGATCATCCGATTGTGATTGAGGCGGAGCCGGAGTCTTCGGAGGAGCAAACGGATCAGGGGAGTTCAGACTCCGGTGATGATGAGTCAGATTCTGAATGGACGCCGAGTAAGGGGCGTAGGGACTAGTGTTGGGGGTTCAGAGTAGATTTTAGGAAAGTACCATTTTTGAGGTCTGGATGCCAGGTTACCGATCTTTTTGTATATCGGTAGTTTGTAATACAGTGTGCAAGGGTTTATGGTGGCTGTAAATTACGGTGGTTGTAAGTGCTGTGAATGTTGTATAAGGTTGTTAATGAAAATGTCAATGCATATTCTCCCTGACGTTTCCCCAGTTTATATTGTCCGGGTTAATTGTGGTTTCTGTCGTGCATTATATCTCTGACGATTGTATTTGAGGTCGGCGATAATTCCTGGGATGTCGCATAAATCGACCAGAGAGGGATGCCACGAGCTCGATGGGGTTCGGGGCGTGACATTAGGGTTGGACGATCGACGCTCACATAAAATCTTTTAATAATTTTTTAATATATTTTTTTGAATTTCTTTATTTTATTTGTTTTTCATTTTTTCCTCCAAGCCCGAGGAGGGCCGCTAGCCGACCCTCACCAGCCGCGGACCAGGGCCGTGAAGCCCTCATAGGTCACGACCCTCACAAGGGCTTTGCAGCCCCTCGCCCAATGGCCATCGAGGGTCGCCGACCCTAGCTACTCTCGCCAGACTTGATGGGAAAAAAAAGGAAGAGAAAGAAAGAAAAAGAAAAAAGAAAAGAAAAGAAAAAATAATAATAATCAATTTTTTTAAAAATATATTATAAAAAAATTATTTACGTCAGCATCAACCGTTTTACGTGGCATTACTGGCGTCCACGTCAGCAATTTCTGATTAAAATCGGCTTGATGGAGTCAATTGATAGAATGTGGAAATATTGATGACTCAATTAGCAAAATTGAAAGATTTATGACTGAATTGGCAAAAGCGTATTAACTTTAGAACTTTTTGGATAATTTTCATATTGATGCTAGCATTCCGTTTTCTCATTCTAATCTTCGTGGGAAACTCATCCGGCAACACAAGCCAATCAATGAAGGAATGTTCAGAAATAAAATGCATAAATTTGTCCAACCGCCGAAACTTGCCTTTCCCAACACCAACTTTAAACAAATTTTGTACTGCTAATCAATTCGGTCATGTTGGCATATGACGTGACACATCAGATGCCAAGTCAGAGAGGGGGTGGGGGGTGGGTGGAACAAAATTGATTGATTAAAAGACTTAACAGGTTCTAATGAAAGAGTACTACGAATAAATCGAACAAGATTTAAGCTCATGAACTCCAATGAGCATTGAACAAGAGTACACATTGATTTTGCCACTCCTCGATTACATTCTAAGGGTAACTAGGTTAATCCAATGAAAACTTCCTAGTAATTTTGCAAGCTTTCCAAGGAAACATCAATACGACCGTAGACATGATTAGCTCCTATTGATCAGTTGTGACTTTTAAGTTCTTGTGCTGGTCAATATGCGACCCAGTACGATCGACTTCGAGGTAATCCAAACCTTAGATTTTCGTTGAATCCAGTGATCGAAGGGAAGAGATGGGACCAACGGCTTTAGGTTCTATATAGACCCAACCCACCTGCCAGTCTGAGACTCTCTTGCTTTCGCACTCTCACTCCACACTCTCACGCGTTAGAGAAAAACTGCTGCAGCTGCGGCATTTCTTCTCCCCTTTCCCTCTCTCGAGCACCATTGCACCACCTCTCTCACCGGAGATTCCCACGTGCATATCGTCATACAGAAGAGCTCGGCCATGATGTTCACCTTTTTATTTTTATTTTTATTTCCCTTCTTACTTGGATCAAGTGGGCATTTTAAAATTTGAGAATGCTAAAATGTAAGTGTTTATCATGAGCACCATATGTGAATGTGGAAAATTTCCATCTAATTGAGTTTAAATATAAGTCAATTCATTCGGGAAAAAAAATAATAATAATTGAGGTCTTGTTCTCTTCTGCATCTTTCATGTACCAAGACTAGGTTCGGGCCTGCAGTTTGATCTTCTGTAATTGGCATTTGTGGCAGATTGCCCCAGTCAACTGCAATTGACTTCCATTCGTTGAGTTTTTCAGCAATGTATTCCTTTTCCATCTCCAGTGTGCCTTCCTGTGTGTCATCTGGACACAGAAAGTTCATTTGTGAAAGCTGACTGATCTTGCATTATTAACTAGGGTTAATACCCCGAAAAACCCCAAACTGCACACTTGTGATAATTTTATCTCAAACTAATTTTTTAACCACCAAAAACCCCAAACTGGTACACCTATGACAAATTTACCCTCAATTTGTTTCCGTTAAATTTTACTGTCAATCTGCTTTGTTAAATGACACATGGCAGTTGACTGATTTACTAGTTTTATGTCTTACCCTCCGTTTGTCATAGGTCAATCAGTTTGTGATTTTTTGTGATGTAAATCCAATTTAATAAAAATTAATGGAGGATAAATTTGTCACAAATGTACCAGTTTGGGGTTTTTAGTGCTCAAAATATTAGTTTCGGATAAATTTATCACAGGTGTACTAGTTTAGGATTTTTGGTGGTCAAAAAATTAGTTTGGGATAAAATTATCACAGGTGTATCAGTTTGGGGTTTTTCATGATATTAACCCAATTAGCTATCATAGGAGTCCATTCTTTTTCTATATACATTTGACAAAATGCTTGTTAAAAAACAAAAAAATAAAATCATTAGTGTTACCATCGCTATTAGTAAACCGAAAAAATCACTATTGCCCTTGTTGGTATTTTTTTTTTTTTGGTAAGGTAAATCAACTCGGTATTTTATTGTTGCTCAGTTGACAAAATAGTTGATAAAAAAAAATCACTGTCATAGGTGATCGGCCATGAGTTGTGCTTTGATGCTATGACAGACATTCTTTGTGGAATGAGCGAGTTTTTGCGGGTTATAGCAAGTTGATTTATCTTTCGGAGGGCTTTGGAATTTGGAGAGCTTGTTTAGTTCTTGGGTGCTTGCTTCGCTTTGAGAAGTGTTGCATTTGGTAGGGGAATGTGCAATTGTTGTAGTACATACATACTAAGGATTGCTAAAGAATTTTTTTAGAAAAAAAATATATTACTTTCACTGATTATATGTGTAATAGATAAATTGGATTTGGCGACAAAAAAAAGGATTAGAATGACTTGAATCAATAAAGCATGCATTTAGAGATGTGTCGTCACAACACCGTCACAACACATGCATACGTTTCTAACTCTTTATAAGTATTTTAATCTTAAGGTGTTTTTACGTTCTTTATTCTATTTACTAACATATTCTTAATTTTTTTTGTCGACAACACATTCTTACTTTGTTAAGTATATTTGATATAAAATTTAATTCAAGTCACATATTCACATGAAGAGCTTAAAGTGAATTAAATAGGTGGGTATGAATTCTCATAGATCGGGTTAAATATGAATATGTTTTAGCAATATGGATTGAGTTCCAGTTGGGTCGAGTATGGATGGCTAAAATTTTATGGGTCGGACTATTTTCAACCCGACCCAAACCCGACATGACGCACCCTTTTGATGGGCTTGCTCTAGGCCCATAGAAGACCCTATTAATTTCATGGACTAGGCAAGACTCGAGCCAAAGCCCAAGTGCTTGGCCTTTGTACGTAATTGTTTGTACTTGCCAATGTCGGAAATCAAATTTGTGCCTTGCGCCTAATCCAAAGTCACAAATTGTTTCTTTAACCATTAGACCAACCCCATATAGTTAATTCTTTCTCCGATGACAGGTTTCGAAATCAAAATTTCCTGCTCTTAGTTAGAACACAGTTTAACAAAGAGTTCAATTCAGCTAGGATCAAATTGCAATTAGCATCTGCAGTTCCACATAGCATTTGATCAAACCTCAGCTTCATTCGTGATATCATGCTGCTTCTCAAGTTATTACCATCCCTGCCTTGTAAACATCTGATCCTGCTTTCGCTTACTCTTATGAAAATAGCTTGTGTTCTGACGATGTATGTCATATTTTGATGAGAAAGCTCGTCTTAGATACGTGAACCGGATTAGTGGAATGCATTACCTCTATCGCGAAACAAATAAGATGCGACTCAAAGTCTAGGTGGGTGGCCTATTCCGATTTTTGTTTATAGAAAGCTTCTTTAGCTTGATAATTGCGAACACATTTTGTGAGAGTTTGTCAATGAAAAACAGGTAATCTGTGCCTCGGAACAATTCTATCTTGAGTGCTAATGAGTTCACCATGAGCAGTAGAAGTTTGTTCTGCAATTTATTGCAATGTGTTCCATAACAGACTCTTCGGACAACCTAGAGGACATGTCAATCTTCGCATTTCGTGGACAACAGGCGTTTTCTTTGTTTCGTAGAGACAAAGCTTAGTGGCTTAAGGTACCACAGAAGTAATTAAACGATGGTCGCAGGTGAACAAATCCTCTTTTCTCCAATGATCAAGACGGGTGGAGCTATGGATCACTATTTTCTCTGTTGGTGGCTGTCTACCCCGACATTGATTAGGGAAGTCAACCAGGGTCCTCACGACTCAGTGTCAAGTTGAGTGAAAGAAAAGGTATGAGTAGGACGATTCATAAGTGCAGGAGTAGATGTAAGTCTGCAAACGTTGCTGGTTTCCACCTTTACTTCTCAGCAGTGAATCTCATTATTGACCGGACCTCAGGAAAATTGTCCAAAAAGTCCTAAATCTATTGTACGGCGGTCAATTCAGTCATAAACTTTTAAATTTTGCCAATTCAGTCCTAAACCTTTTAATTATGCCAATTTAGTCCTAAACATATTGACTATTTGCCAATTTAATCCTAAACATTTTAACTGATTGCTAATTTAGTCCTTTCGACTAATTTTGATCGGAAATCGCTGACGTTGGCACTGGCCGTCCTATGTGGTGTTGACGTGGAAATCGAATTTTTTTATTGATTATTTTATTTTTATTCTTTTATTTTTTTTCTTTTTTTTTTCCTTTCTTCTTCTTCATTGAGCTGGCAAGTCACCGGCCCGGGGGTGAGGGCCGCAAAGCCCTCACTGGCCATGGGCGAGGGCGGGTGATGGCTTGCGACGCCCTCACCAGCCATAGTGAGGACTCGCGAGCCCTCGCCAAATCCGGCGAGGGCTATAACACCCTCGAAGTGGCTCGCGAGGGCCTGGGCGAGGGCTCGCATCGCCCTCGTTGCGGCCGGCGAGGTCTTCACAGCCTTCACCCAGGTGCCGGTGGGGGTCGCCGACCCTCGCCCAATGGCCGACCACCTCCGCCAACCCTCGGCTGGCGACTTGCCGGCTCAACGAAGAAGAAAGGAAAAAAAGAAAAGATAAGAATAAAAATAAAATAATCAATAAAAATCAATAAAAAAATTCGATTTTTTTTTAAAAATGGAAAATTATCCACGTCAGCACCACGTAAGACAGCCAGTGCCAACAAGACCGCCATGTCAACGATTTTCTGCCAAAATTAACCGGAAGGACTAAATTGGCAATTCGTTAAAAGGTTTAGGACTAAATTGGCAAATAGTCAATATGTTTAGGACTGAATTGGCAGCTTTTTAAAAGGTTTAGGACTGAATTGGCATAATTAAAAGATTTAAGACTGAATTGGCCGCTGTATAATAGGTTTAGGACTTTTTGGGCAATTTTCCCACCGGACCTTAGATTAATTTTTCTCATTTCACTAATATTATAGTCCTTGAGGGCACCGTCGATTTTACGCTTCTTTGTAATGGAGTTGAGATTGAAATCCATTTGTGCATTACAATAAAAGTTGCAAAGAAGCACATAGCCATGAATCCAATTGTTGCAGCACACACAGCCACACACCTGCTCATCAGTTGGCGCAGTATCCAGTTTCCTCCGGACAATAAGAACCTGATTTCATTGTTACCAACCTTTTAATGATGCTTGGTCTTCCCTTCCATTAATTGCTTATTACTTATTTGCCAATTATCTTGTCTTCGTTGAAATAGTGATCCAATTTCTAGAAGTTTCTAGCATGCTCAAGAACTTTGGAGAATACATACTTAGATAAATAGTGTGTAGAAAAATCGAGAGAAGTATCTATGCAACTTGTTCTAGATTATTCCTTAATGGCGGTGGAAGAGGGCCATAAATAGCCAACCCCTCTCCACTTGAAAAACACACACCCATTAGAAGAAAACTAGGTCCCTTGTACAAACATTCTTGACATAAAACTCCTCATGTTTTCTTTGCTCCCTACTAGCCTTTCACTATCTTCCATCTCCAATATTATCACAAAAGTGCTTGTCCCATTGTTGCTACAAGTCCACGCACCTACACTTGCCCTCACTAAATCACTCACTCACTCACAAAATAAATCGTACTTCCGCAAATACTAAGAGTGGTACCAGAGCTACGTTTTTTTGTTGGTATTGGGTGTTTGTCCGAATTCCTAAAACTACCAATCCAACAACCCAACAAATAAACTATGGCCAGCTCTACATCATCCTCATTTCCCATTCCTATTTTCGATGGGAATAACTACGACTGTCGGAGCATTAAAATGACTACTTTCTTGATGGTCCAAGATTTATGGGACATCGTTGAAAAGGTTTATGAGGCTCCGCAAGAAGGTGCAAGCGCTCGAAAGGATCAACTACAAAAGAATGCAAGGGCGTTTTGTGTTATTCAGCAAGCACTCTCGAAAACGGTATTTTCAAGGATAATTGGAGCGAAAACGGTGAAGAAGGCCTAGGAGATATTACAAGAAGAATTTCAAGGCTCGGTCAAGGTACGTACTATTCTACTTCAAACTCTTGAGAAGTATCAACTCAAAAGGTCGACAGAGATGTGGGCCAGCGCGTTGGATGGGTCCCCCTTCAACCGATGACGGTGACGTTCCAACTACGTGCCTTGAAAAAGTATAACAATGGTACGTAACTAAAACATTTTCGTCAATGCTTTTCTTTTAAAAACTTTCTGATCTTTTTCCCTTATCAGAAACTAGCAGAAACGACATACAGAAGTAACTCTAGCCTCGGCTCTGCCATATATTAGTGGTGACGATACACCGTGTGTCGGGATGCTTATGAGAGTGTTCGGATGCCTCGTTAGTCGAGATGATATGCCGTTAGCTAGTATGATATATGTGTGCATATATATTTTCACACATGTATATCGATGAATTACTGTGTGGTAGTCGTGCATCACAATAAGTCAAGTTATCCACTCGCGTTGGAGTAAATGATCTAATGTAACATTGTTAAGTGGTTTTCATTGACATATCATGATAGGAAAGATAGTGCATTTACTCCTTTAATTGCCTACCTAATCACTTTGTACTTGTTTTGAGTTCATGTTGATCTATTGATATCAGGTTGGGTGATAAGATGATTTCTAACCTTATCCCTAGAGAGTTCATTTATTGAGCTTAGGCTCACCCCAATGTATATTTACAAATATATCAAGTTTGAAGCTCAGGGACCTTTAGACGAGCATTTTCGAAGACATATTTGAGGACATGAGCAGAGTGCGCAGCGAAAGTAAGGGTTTATTCTTATACATACGGTTTTGATGTACATTAGTTGAGGTCAAATTATTTTTATAGTTGAGAATAAATTAGTCAATCACCGGATAATTGAAGTGAAGCTAAATTATTTATTATTTTAAGGTTCAAATTTTATGGAAAATTTCTGGCCGTGATAGTTTTTGGTATCAGAGCGAGGTTAACAAAGTGATAAGAAGTACTACTAATTAAGAGCTTAAGTTGGACGAGAAATAAATAGATTGTGCATATGGACTTTAAGTTTTAGAAATAACTTGGTGGACTAGGGATTTCAGAAGTGATAAGTTTTGATATAGAAAGCTATAGATTATTTGATAAGTTACGATCTATAGGAATTTGGGAAATAACTTTCGGAGACATGAAGACGCTAGTATTGGTTGATGAATATCATGGCAAGATGGGATTTCAGAAGTGTTAAGTTTTAACTCGAACTTCATGTAGTGAGTGATGATCTTTTGGCCTTTACATACCATTCGATATGGAAATGGTTGAGCTTCGGTTGTTGGGAAAATTGGATGGATTTGGATTGCAAAGCCTAAGCTATGATATTTAGAATAAAAGCGTCGATCCTCCTATGTTAAGGCACGATCATTTTTATGATTAACTTATAATCTATAGATAATAAGTTGTGATTTTGAGGACTATGTTATGATCAGTTGAGATAATGTCACGATTTTCTTATTAAAAAAGAGGAGAATCTATATTGGAAGTTTTGATGGGTTACATGACGATATTTGATATAATAAGAATTGATCTTAGAAGTTATAAACTTGAGCCGTCGTATGAAACTTAAATTTACTTGCGATTTATAAATCGGGTCAGTATACGTGATGTTCATAGTTGTAGGGTTGTGAACTTCTATGTAGCAGGTTATGACCTAAAAAGAGTTTTGTGGAACTGATAGATATGACGAATCATGACTGTGGTTTCCTTTAAAATGATACAAGTCAAGTGTCGAGGTTTAATTATTCATGCTGTTGTGGATAAATTAGTTAATCATCGGAGAAATTGAAGTGAAGCTAAATTATTTATTCTCTCGAGGTTAAAATTTTATGAAAACTTTGTGGTCGCGACATGGGTGCCTTTTTTTCAACTACTTTTTACTCCGAAGTTGAGGGTTCGTTTCTCCGCTTGGGTTGGTGTGCAATAATCTATACCGTATCTTTATTGAAAAGAATGCACATGTTCACCCCGAACAAAGGTACGTTTGAGATGATAGTGGGCCCAGGCAACAGTGACTGTTACTAGTAGGGGTGTCAAAAATACCCAAATCGCCCCGACCCAACCCGAATCGATCCGATCCGATCCGAAAATTCAAGGTATTTTTGGGTCGGGTCTCATTCCTGTTCGGGTAGTGAGAGAAACAATGGATACCTTGACAATTCGGTTCAGGTCGGTTTGGGTCGGTTCGAGTACCCTAATGACCCGAAATATATTAAATATAAATACTGAATAGGAAACTCCTCCCTCCTCCATCTCTTTTCTCACGTTCCTCAACAAGCTCTCCTTAGCCTCCGTCGCCATCGCCACCTTCACCTTCCTCCTAACCGTCGCCGCCGCCACTACCCCAGATTCTCCTGCGATTTTGTCCGCCGCGAGTTCCTCCCCTCGACAAGAAAGAACAAGCGCCTCTGGTCCTCTCACACCTTCCGCGGCTTAGTCCTCTCCCGCCGGCACTTCTTTGACTCGATCCCCGATCTAAGCCTCCTCCGCAACCACTCCAAGGTCCTCTAGGTCTCCGCCGGAACCGGCCACGAGGTCATGGTGCTATCCGAGTCGGGCGTTGCCGATGTCACCGGGGTTGACTCGCCGCCTCTGGTAAGCCGCGTTGGTCTGCACAATTTGTGCATCTTCGATGGGGTTTTCGATTTGGCGTTGAGTGAGCATTTGGAGGAGGCTCTGTTCCTATCACGGTTCGCAGCGGAGATGGAGATGACAACGAGGGTCGGCGGGCCTTGTGTGGTGATCGTTGAGGAGTGCAGTCACGTGAAGGTGGAGGAGATTGTGGGTTTGTTTAGGAAGTCAAGATTTGTGGGTGTTGTTAATGTTACTTTAATTGGATTGAAGATGGCTAAAAGCATGTTGTAAATGGGGTAAAGCTGATTGCTCTCTTTTACTGTAATCTGCTACTTAAAAAGTCTCAGTATCATGTTTTCCATACTTGTAAATTTTGATGTTTTTGTTCAGTCGAATTTGGATCGACCGCTAGGTGTATTCACAAGAGTGAAAATGTGGCTCTTCTTTTCCTTAGATACTTTAAACAATCAAGATCTAGTTCGCTATAGCAATCACAATAGAGAAATTCTTTTTAATCAAAGTACGAAGGGATCGTGACAAATTTAGATATTTGAAGTTTGTTTGAATTGGGAATGTTTCCATTTCATACTTTTCTGTGAGCCTGGAAACAGAGGGAGGTGAAGGGACGAAGAGGGAAAAAAAAATACTCGAAACCCTACCCGGACCGACCCGACCCGACCCGATCTTTTGGGATATATATCGTTCGGGCCTCGGGCCGGTTCGAGTCGGGTTAAGCACATTCCTGTGAGTTTCGGGTCGGGTCGGGTATCATAGAAACTCGACCCGACCCAACCCATTAACACCCCTAGTTACTAGTCAAATATGATAAGAGATACGCCTATTTACTCTCTAAAGCTGATTCGACGGGTTTCTATTTGCTCACCAAGGACTACAAGGCAACCTTAATAGTAACGCTTTCTTTATTAATAATTTGTCTATTATTTTTATTGTTGTTCGTGTTGCGCGTTGGTGGTCCATTGGACAAACTTCACATGCCCCGGATAGTGACATTAGTCAATAACATCTAGAAAAAAAATGAAAAAGCTAGCTAAAATGGGTTGGGTTGGGTTGGATTTGAGTAGGGTCGATTACGAGTCACTAAAATTATATTACATAAAAATGAATTAAAATGAGTTAATTTGGATCGACGAGTTTCGTATGATTGATGAAAGAAAAGTTGCAATATAGAAATGGGATAATAACGTAAATGATCCCTGATCTTAAACTCGACGTACAATAATATCTCCAAATTTTCAATTTGTTTAATGTGGTCCATGAACTTTAATTCAATGTGCAATATGATCCTTGAACTTTCAATTTGTTCAATATGATCTCTAAACTTTTGGTACATGTTCAACTTAACCCCTGAACTATATGAAAATATTCAACCTAATCCTTTCATTAATTCAAGTTCTGAGATAATAATTAAACATTTTCATATAGCTTGAGGACTATATTGATTATGTACCGAAAGTACAGGGATCATATTGAATAAATTAAAAATTTAAGGACGACATTGCACATCGAACTACAAATTATAAATTCAGGGATCATCTTATTGCACATCGAACCAAAATCCAGTGAATTCAGGCATCGTATTACACATCAAACCAAAGTTCAGAAATTATTCGTGTCACCATCGATCCTTCGGCGACGCCACGTGTCGGTGCGGTTGACTCTGGGAAAAGTGGGCTTTCCTTTCCTCCGCTCTCTGTCCTTTTTATATCCGGAAGTTAAGCTGCGAAGCGAAAACCGCGACTTCCTCCTCTTCAAGCCAAACGCACAAACGCTTCAACCATTTGCCGTGAAAGCATCGGGCGTCGTGGAAAGAGGCAAGAGCCGGCGGTCCCCGCCGCGCGTCCTCCGGCGACCGGTGCTCCGTCCCGGTGGGAACCGCGTGCAGGGGGGCGGCGCGATCGGAGGCGTTTGAGGTACCGACCGCTTCGAGATCCTCGCTTGTTTCGCGGAGGGGGGAGAGGGAATGGTGCGGTCCTCGTCCCCGAGATCGACGGCGACGCCGGAAGCGGCGACCCTTTTGCCGGGGCTCCCCAACGACGTCGGGGCCCTGGTGCTGTCGTTCGTCCCTTACCCGCATCAGGGTCGGCTCAGGGCCACCTGCAAGTCGTGGCGCGCGTTCTTCTCCTCCAAGGCGTTGATCTCGCTTCGCCACCGTAACCCTAAGGCCCTCTCCCACCTCCTCTGTATCTTCCCTCAGGACCCTTCCATCGCCCCTCCTTACCTCTTTGACCCTCACTCCCTGGGCTGGTGCCCTCTGCCTCATCTCCCTGCCAACCCTCATGTCTATGGCCTGTGCAATTTTGCTTCCGTTTCCATTGGCCCCCACTTGTACGTGCTCGGCGGGTCGCATTTCGATACCCGGTCCTTCCCACTCGACCGCCCGCAGCCGTCTTCTTCGACGTTCCGGTTCAATTTCTGCACCGGCAGGTGGGACAGGCTCGCCCCGATGATTTCCCCGCGCGGGAGCTTCGCCTGCGTGGCTGTCCCCAGCTCGGACCAGATTTTGGTTGCCGGAGGTGGGTCTCGGCACAACATGTTCGGGGCGGCGGGGAGTAGGATGAGTTCGGTGGAGAGGTACGATATCGAGAAGGACGAGTGGCTTGCATTGGATGGGCTTCCTAGATTCAGGGCCGGGTGTGAGGGTTTTCTGGTGAGGAGCGGTGAACATAGGGAATTCTGGGTGATGGGTGGGTATGGCCGGTCCAGGACTATCTCGGGTGTGTTTCCGGTTGATGAGTATTACAGGGATGCTGTGGTGCTTGAGTTGGATGATGGGGGTTGTGATTGGGGGAAGTGGAGGGAGGTGGGGGATATGTGGGAAGAAGGTGAGAGAAGGAGATTGGGAAAGATTGTTGTTCTTGATGATGATGAACGGGGCATGCCTGGCATATTCATGCTTGATGAGAATGATATCTTCAGGTACCTCACTTTACTTGAACAATCTAGCTGGTCCTTTTCATTTATTTATGTACTCTATTTCTTGTGTGTATTCTATCTGTGAGCTTCCACTTTTCAAACTAGTGCTGTATGATTTTGTATATGTACGTTTATCGCTATCTTTATGATTTCATATGATGGGACACATGTTCAATCCAACTGTGACATTCGAACGCTACGCCTGATTTTGCAAGGAATCTGGAAAAATGGCACTAAAGCTGAATTTGCTAGTTTTACAGGGGTTGAGTAACGATACTAGTGTTCTAGGTTAGTTATTATTGCCAATGCTCTCACTGTATTTGCAAACCCAATGCCTTGACAGGTGAGCTAAGATGTACCAGGCAATTAAGTTGTTTAGATATTTCATTCAATCAGAGTTTCGGACGGATAGATTATGAGTGGAGATAATATGTTCCAATTGGATTCATAATGATGAGTTATCGTCTCTTAACACCTTGGCATATGTGGTGCCTGAATAGATTGCTTGAGAAAGAGCAATTTACATTTCATCTTTTTGAAAACAGCTGCAACTATCTGAACCGATGGTAATGTTTTTTCATCTTTACTTTATGGAGCATTCATAACAAAATCTTTGATTGAGGATATGTGATATATCTTTTCTGTTTTTCCTTTCTTTTAAAGTGAAGACACTTGGCCTGTTTGTTTTTACTTTTTAAGAAGAAAAAAGCAACTTTCTGCCTTCCGTATAATTTATAATGTTATCTAAAGTTTAAGAAATTATGAAAAAATTAAATGAGTGCCAACATTTATATATTATGAAAGTTTCGGGGGTTTCGTGTAATAAAAAAGTTAAAGTGCGTCACCTGTAAGATTTAGAATAAGAAAAAAGCATAAGTAAAAGGTCTACCCAGACATACATTGACTTGCTTGCTAAGCTCTGTTGCTTACTGGTTTTGAATGGAATATAACTCTTGAGCTACTCATCCATATGTATTTTCTGCATCTTCTTGTATGTTTTTGCCGACTATGGTGTGTCCTCAGATTACTTTTTCTCCCTAACTTTTTTATATTGAACCCTACACTCTTTAATGTACTTGCTGATGGACGTTAGTTGGATACTATCTGATAGATTGGATGATTATAAAGGAAAATAAAGAGGTGTGCAAAATTAAAGAATTATCATTTCAATTAGTTTATCATATAGGATCTGCATCATTGAAATGGTAATTGGATTGAATTCAGGTCCATATTTTTTTTCCAGCACATTTCAACAGGTATAACAGTCAACTTGGTTTTGACCCTGTTGTTTAGAGTAGCATGAAAGTGATATGTGCTGTCTGGGAAACTGAAACACATTGCTCCTGGAACTAAGCTTGGTGCTCTGCCCGTCTGTCTTGCTCATCTTTTTATGAATAGCGACGGGTTCAGTCCCAGTCAAATGACAAACCCCAGCTGTACTTAAGAACATCAATAGGATGTGAGAATGATTGGAACCCTGGTCTGCAAGGATAACTGCGTGGCCCCACCATCTTGACTTGGCATTGCCTTCGCATGACGGTCTCATTATTAGTCATGACTTCTGAAAGTTTATATCACATATTCCATCATGTCCCAGTAGTACAAAACTCCATAGCAGTGGATATTTTAAAATCACCCCTTGTATCTTGTCATTTCCGAACAAAACATAGTGTATAAAATGGGGTTTTTTTTTCCGAATTTATATATTTTATTGGTTGGAGTGACTATTGAATGCCACTTAAGTCGCAGAAAATACTATGGGATGGCAATGAGGTCAGCCATGCTTTATTGCACAGAATACTGGGCAATTAAACATCAACATGTGTACAAAATGATGTGGCAGAGATGAGAATGCTGTGTGGGATATGTGGACATGCAAGGAAAATGACTTCATCCAGAAAAAAAGTAGTTATTGCCCCAATCGAGATAACATAGGAGAAGGTTGTTGGAGGTTGTTTGGTCATATTGATGGTATGCGAGTGACGGATGAAAAGATTGGTTATAAGGGGCACGAAAAACCTAAATGGACATGGAAGGAGACGATAAGGAAAATCTGGACTTACAGAGGATCTAAAACAGGATCGAGCTTAATGGTGTAATAACTCTGCCTACTAGGAGTAGGCTTGGTTTATATTGGTGTTGTTGTATCCAGTTGGGATTAAATACTCCTGTCGCACCATGGATACAGGTTTATTCAGATTTATCTAGTCCATAGTGTGTCGTCAAAACCTGGATAGCATTGTCTATGAACTATCTTGGGTTATATACAAGTTATCAATGTCCCTCAGATGTGATACCTAAAGTTTACTCATTTTATGTTATCATTTGCTGAGATTTTTCTTCAAGTTCTGTATCTGGATTGGTTACTTCGGACTCTTGTCTTACATCGCTGACTTTTTAAAACTGATGCATGAAAGATTACTTCAAAATAGTTAGGCCTGATTTGATAGAGAATTTAAAAAGAAATATGAGTATATTCACTAGGCATCGCGGTTAAAGCTTTTTAAGTATCAGGCTTGGAATTTTTTGAGCATCACACTCGAAAAGAACTGCATCACATAATTCAAATCAAAACGTGCTGAAATTAAATAATCTGCCTTAACTATTAAATAGAAAGAATTAGGAAAAGTATACAAAAAGATAGATTTTCGACAAACAGAGAGGAAGCACAATATATTGTATTCCAAATGCAAAAGGAAGTTTCTTGAATTTGATAGATGAGACTACTAATTCGACGAGAATCATAATGCAGTTAAAGCTCTTTTAGTTGTGAACGGATGCAATCTACATCTACACCAAAGTTTGGTGAAAAAGTTCTTATTCTAAGAAGTATATATTTGTTTGAATATCAAATGATGTTGTGATAAAAAATTTCTTGATGGTAGGAATGAAACTTTCTCTCTGTGTACTGCTTAAATTTGCACCGAGAAGTTCTCGATCTTCTTGCTGATTTTCTGCTTTCTGAGACTGTTGATCAGTTGGATTCTGATCATTTGGCTTCTACTATTGCATTAAATCCTCATTAAGACAAGGATGTGTTGTTTAATTCAGAAGATTTTGAGGTTGATTTGTGTGATTTGCTGTGGAACTATTTTGGGAAGGCATTGAATGCAGTTGATGGGATTGTTGCTGTTTCCCTATATGTGACTCAATCTGCTATGCATAAATCAAATGTTGAGAAATTGAGCTATGGAATTGATCGTGAGTGAGAATCCTATTTGCCCTAAGAGAATTCGTGCAAACAAGCATTTTTGCGGAACTCCTCTGAATTATCGAAGCTCTCTTACTACGAGCCTGAGATGCTTAATGGCAAATTGGTTTTGAAGCCTCTGAGAGAGGTACTTGATGAGGGGGTTAAAATGTGGAGTTCTAGTCTTGTTGGTCAAGTTGTTGGCAAGCAATTGGATCTGAAATTGATTTATAACATTGTGAATTGATTGTGGGGATGTAATGGTGAGATTGAGGTGTTTGAGAATGATTATGGGCTGCATGATTTTCAGTGCCCAAATTCTAGGGTCTCTGACTGGATTGGAAGTCATGACCCTTGGCATATTTTGAATCAGCCATTATAGTTGTTTAATGGGAACCAACTTTATCTGTTCTGGAGATTGATGAACCTAAGAAGCCTGTTTGGTTAGAATTGAGGGAACTGCCTATGACTATGATTGTTCCTAAAGGTTGCACCTGCAATTGGGGTACCCTTATGTTTAGATAGAGCATTAGAGAAAAAAAGGGAGTCTAAATTCTGCTAAACTTTGGGTGAAAATTAATGTGAGTTCTCCTCGTGAGACTTTTTTACCTGTCATGTTGTCTGATGCTGGTGGAAGTGGAAGTCACTTATGCATGGGGCTTTAACGCTAAAGTTGCAAGTTCGTGGAAATTAGTGGAAGGAAAGAAGAAATGGGTTCCTAGAAATCAGATTCAATTCGAGGAAGAGGTTCATGCTGTTAGTACTGATTCTAGAACTCGTCTTGTTGCTGTGGAGAAGGGATCTGTGGTACACATTCCTATGAGGCACTAAAGTCTTTGGAAGAAGAGCCTGTTGCTGAATCTTCTGTCGATCATGAGATTGCTCAAGAGGTGATGGGAGATAAATCCTGCCCAGAGATGATTGAAGATATTACCTTCAGTACTAATCAGTCTAGGAAGAAGCCTAGGGCAGCTGCACTTGTTGCTAGTAAAAATCTTAAGGCTGTAATTTCTCAAGCTAGAAGACATTGGAAGTCCATGGTGAGATCTCGTCCTGGAGCTTTGGCTCCTTTTCTGGGTAGTTTTTCATGACCAATATACCAACATGGAATGTTGGAGGTCTAAATTGGTGTTGCAAGAAGATTGAAATAAAACAGGTGGTCCTGGGAAATAAAGTAAGTGTGCTCTGTTTAGAAGACGTGAAAGTTGGTGGTTCTAATGTGGGAGATTTTGTTGCTGAAATCTATGCATATAAATTGAATAGTTGTCATTTATCAATTTGATACTGTGGTTATTGCTTGATTCCTTGCATTTCTCGTTACAGATATGATATTAAAGTTTGTAATGTTTTGGTCTCTGTGGATGCAAATTTGTTGCTTGCTAAGTTCAGTCCAAGAGTTCTGTTGCCGTTAAAATGGTTGAGGACTTCATTAGTACTGGAAGATACCACCTTATCCTATGAATGTTCTTCTTTTATTGCTTTGAAGGTTCCATTCTCATTGGTCTTGCTTTGACTTTTTAAGCATTACCATTTCTGGGAGAATAGGTGGGAGACACAAGAGACTTGGAAATTAATGCCTGTAGGCTTATCTTAATTCTTTAATATACTTGAATTTACGTTTTCGGATGAGCTCAAGGGTGGCACATGAACCTTTGCTGGCTTGTGAAGCTTGGGGAGGCATTGCATTTACCGTTGTCGTGATATGTAGATGAACTTGGCTATGCATGTTAGTATTTTAAGTATATCTTGTGGTTTTCATGTGACAACAGGAGCTGCATCTCTGCTGATATCTCTATTGGTTTTCTTTGAACTTGCACGCATGTACAGATATTGCATGACGGCAAATCGTTGGCGAAAGGAGTCCAGCGTCCCAACAAAGGCTACGGGCAACACCTCGTTTGGATTTGTTGCGCTGGATGGGGAATTGTATGTTGTGACTCTTCGGAACGGAAATGATTTAGCAGAAACCCGACGGTCGCGACCATTTAAGAGGGGAGGAGCTCTGTTTGTTCAGGTTTATTGTCCAAGGAAGAAGACATGGCGAACTCTTGTCGCGAAGTCACCATTACATTGCCCTTTGGATTTTAGGAATGCTGTTGTGTGCACCATTCATCTGTAGAGTAAAAGTATAGTCTGTATTTTCTTCAAAGTCATTTGTCGTACATAAGTTGCGATGGGGTAGCTCACTGTATATGCTTACGTATATGCCGATGTACAGATTTTGTCTGGAGAGGACTACAGACTCTGAATAAATTCCCTTTGGAAATAATCAATTGCCGATGTATGCAGATTATTAGTCTTTGAAACGACCAAAAGCTCCGACAGTGCTCCATGAAGCGTCATCGGGTTCACAGAAGTGCATTTGCCAAAGTTCTTTCGTGATGCTAGAGCTGATGTTATATGATGAGCTTCAGTTTGACTTCATTTTTGTGCTGAACCTGTCACCAAGAATTAGATGTGTGAAGCTGAGTTCAAATTGGCAATGCCCATTGGAACGGGTCTTTGAAGGAGACGATAAGATCGTCTCTCCTCGTGAGAGCTCAGTCCAGTCATTCCAGTTGACCAGAAGCGAAAGAGCGTAAGTATGCGTTGGGAACATAGTCAAGGCCACAGCTAACCGTATCCATTATATTAATCTTGGGTCAATTTCTCTCCTTGCCGGTCGATTGTGCTTCCTTGCATTAATACGAGGAACCCAATTTGCGAAGTATGGAGCTACGAACGTTCGTTCTTTTGACCGTCGTGGGTCGTTCCTGCTAAGTTTTGAGTACGACGAATGAACCATTTTAGACCCATTTTAGGGGGTATGGGTCCTCTCTCTCTCTCCCCTTTCCAGTCTTTTTCTTTATTTGTATAGGCTCGTTGGCCGTCAAATGAAGTGCACAAACATTCAATACGTTTTGATTAACTTAATTACTGATGTTAACCTTCATTACGTTTTTCCTTTGAGGAGAAATTTAGGTCTCAACTCAAGTCGGGCAAGGGATGCCTGCCCAGGTGAGGGCAACACTCACTAGCTCGGGCGAGGATGACCCATGCTTGCCCGGGCAAGGATTGCCTCGCCAATCTAGGATGAAGGCAACTCTCAGTAGATTGAGGGCGATGGTGGCCCTCGCCCATGCAACGCAACCCTTGCCCAGGGGTGGCAGGGGAAGCACTTGCTTTGGTGAGCGTGGGCTGCCCTCGCCTGCCTAGGTGAGGGTGACCCTTGCTAGCTTAGGCGGCAACCTCCGCCGGCCGAGGTTCGATGATGGCTAGCGGAGGAAGAAAGGGAAAAAGTGAAAAGGAAAAGAAAAGAAAAGAAAAGACAAGAAGAGAAAAGAGAAAAACAAAACGAAAAGCAAAAAAGGAAAAGGAAAAAATAAATAAATAATTTGAAAAAATATTATTAAAAATTCTTCACGTTAGCACCAGCCATGCCACGTAGGATGACTAACATCCATGTCAATGATTTCCGGCCAAAATTAGCCGGATGGACTCAATTTGCAAAACATAAAAATATTTATGATTCAATTGATTGAAATTTAAAGTTTAAGACTGAATTGACAAAATTGAAAGGTTTATGACTGAATTGACAAAATAGCAATAGGTTTAGTATTTTTGGATAATTTTTCCTAAATTTGCCCCTTAAGAAGGTGACAAATCAGCAATTTATAAAAGACGATAGATTTAGCCATATAATTCATTTTAACTAACCTTACCATTACCATTAACATTAACATTAACATTCCTATCTGCTAGCACATTCCCATATGCTAGCGTGTGGTCCTCGTGACCTGCCACTGTCGACATCAACTCAGCCTCTGTTGCTCGGCCACCTTAGCCATCCCGAGTACACGTTGGTGTGAATACGGGAGAGGGGTGGTGCTGGAGACAGGCGAAAGGCGGTGTAGGGAGGGTCGTAGTGTCCTGGTCAATAGTGGTGGATCCTCGACTATGCACTTAACCGTTGAAATCAATCATGTGTCGATGTGTCCTCTTTTCAAGGAAGTTAATTTGATGTGTAATTTTATACTAATAAATTTAGAGGTTTCCAATTCACAAATTAATTTATATTTGATGCAAAATTTAGCTTTGAAAATGCTCAAATCTCAAGGCAAACCCTCATCCGCTTTGGGCTTTTAGCATTTTCTGAATGTAAGTTCAGAGTTTAATGAAG